TAATTTGTTAAGAGGGTAGATCTCTTGTTAAATATTCTTTTTTTTTTTAAGATTTTATTTATTTGTGAGAGAGAGAATGAGAGACAGAGAGCATGAGAGGGAGGAGGGTCAGAGGGAGAAGCAGACTCCCTGCTGAGCAGGGAGCCTGATTTGGGACTCGATCCCAGGACTCCAGGATCATGACCTGAGCCGAAGGCAGTCGCTTAACCAACTGAGCCACCCAGGCGCCCTCTTGTTAAATATTCTTACAATAAAAAATTGATGGCATCTAATATTCAAAGAGAGGGTAGTAACAGATATTCTCACAAGGTATGTGTCTTGATGGCCCTAATGCCTTCCCATCCCCACACCCACCCTCAATAGCTCCACAGGCTCCAGGACTCTGACCAATTTTCTTCTTTCCATGGACCTTTTCTTTCCCAGTGAAGGGAATGGCACTAGATCTCACTGAGTGATACTCTCCTCATGTCACCAATGACACTTATTTTCAGGCTGCCAATTTCAACCTCATCTCTGGAGTTCAACTGAATGGGTCTGAGCCACAACTCTGACTTTGAACATGGGTAAAGGTTAATGACAAGGAAAACAAATTTCAGAAAGGTGTTTAGTCACAGAAATGAAGCAATGCCCATCAGCCCCTCCTACTGACGTCAGCTGAGCATTCTTACCTGTGGTTGCCTACATAGGGCCTTTCATATAAGCAAACTCAGTAATTTCAAGTCTTCCACAGGAACAGTTTACTTGGTGGGTGCCATTATCCTTTTTATTTTTACTTCTACCCATTTCCTTATAAACTGTGTTATACACAAAGCTGTGTGGACAGGGAGAACAAAGCTCCAAGATCTGTCCCATTAGGTTTAAAGGTTTGGGACTCTGTTTTATAGTTTACCAGAGAGCAACAAATCTAGTTCTATTCAGGGATTTAATTCACATCTCATTAACTACCTTGGCAAAACCCAACATTAGCTTTGATAGGCTAATTTGATTAAAGAATTGATGGACATTACTTCTCTCAGACTAATGAAGTTAATTTTAATGGCGGTAGTAATGTCTCCCTGGAAGATTACATTGAAAATGAAATTAGCTAGCTAGCATTTTTAGGTGATTTGTAAATTATGAAATGCTAAACAAATGTGATTATCACAGGCCTCTGTATTCCTTTGTTGCAGTTTCTAGATTCCACCTCTTGTGTCTTTCCCTTTCTTTTCCTATCTCTTCCTTAGAGGTCTTACCTAGTTACTTGCCTGAGGGAAATCCTCAAGGCTGGCCTACTATCACCTCATGTTTTCAACTAGTAAATTGATTCAATATACATATTTGGAAACCTACCATGGACAAATCATGGCGTTGTTATAGAAATATACGAGACATTAATCACACATATGCATGAGCAAGCACATGCATGCACGCACACGCATGCGCACATACACACGATGTATATTACATTCCAGTGAGGCCATTATGCACACATTTTGAAGCAGTATTTGGCTGAGAACCAGTTAGACAACTCTTAAACTCTTACCCACACCGAGTGCATACAAGGCTTGGAAACTGGAGATTAGAGGAGTATTTATGGAGAAAATTTGGAAGGAGATGTTGGACACTCTAATGCCAAGAAGGCTAGTTGGGAGATGCTCCCTCCTGTGGCCAGATCAAGAGGTAAAGGCTTCAAAGGGAACATCAGAGTTTATGTGAGCTTCTGGACTGGTGTCTGATTTCCTCCTGAAAACTTTAAAGGGTAAGAGATAGAATGCCTAGGAATGAGCCAAAGAAATAAAATGACTACGTTGGGTACCAGGGCTCCTATAGTTTATCAGTGGAAACAGGAGTGTTTCCTATGGACTCAGTGTGGTCATGCGATAGAAGGACCAGGAAAGCTGCCTGAGGTCATTTCTAAGTGGACCATCCAGAGTAACACCCCATTATATGTAATAATGACCATGATAATTAAGCATATTTAACCTCTAAAGCCAAATATCATTTTTGTTTGATTATGGTTTTTAGGGAAGGAACTATCTTATCAATTAGTTACCTGGACTGGTGTAGGCATCACTCTCATGGGACTTGCTGCATGGTCCATAAAGGGTGTCTTTGGATGATTTTACGCAGACATAATGGAAACAAGAGAATTCAAGTGTATGCCAAACAGACATGCATACAGATCACATGACATCTAGTGATACTTATGCTTAAACCCACTTTGATATTTAGCATGGTCTTAGGTAGGAAGGCACTGTAGATATTAACAAATAAAAGGACAGAAACAATTCTGTCCCAAGGTTATATTATGACACACAAAAAAACCTGTCAGTATTTTTGCAACGTTTTTCAATGTATTAATTAATACATTGTTATGTGTTAATTTTACAGATATATTAACTATACCTTACAGAACCATGGTGAAAAGCAGTACATTCTGCCTATTTTAAAGATGGAGAATCTGAAAGTAAGTTTAAGAAACTGAAGATCACACCCTGGGTAAAAAAGATTAGTGCTAAGAAACCCATCCACTGAATAAATCTCTGCCTATACTTCCATTGGAATAATTTTCAAAGTTGTGTTGAATATACTGACATTGTAAGAAAAAGAAAACCTCTACCCACAAACTTCCTACCCACTGGTAACACGTATAAATGCTCTTATATGTGTTCTCTTGGCCCAGCTACAAGCAGTTTCACTAATATGCACTTCTTTTTTTTTAAAGATTTTATTTATTTGATAGAGAGAGACACAACGAGAGAGGGAACACAAGCAGGGGGGGTGAGAGAGGGAGAAGCAGGCTTCCCGTGGAGGAGGGAGCCTGATGTGGGGCTCGATCCCAGAGCCCTGGGATCATGACCTGAGCCGAAGGCAGACGCTTAACGACTGAGCCACCCAGGTGCCCCCACTAATATGCACTTCTGCTGACCAGATCCCTCCCAAGACTCAAGAGTTACAAAAAAGAGTTACAATTCATACTCTGGTTGCAGATGACAAAGACCCACAAAACCCAGCCCAAGTGAAATGAGAGACTTTGGGCTCATATACAAGCATGGCTGGAGGGAAGCTGGCCTTAGGCGTACTGAGAACCAAGAACCCAAATACCACTAGGATGCTCCTTACTTACAACTCCATGTGCTTGTGTTTCAGCTTCTTTCTGCCTAACTGGACCTCAGCTGGTAGGGGATGCGTGTGTGTGTGTTTGTGAGAGAGAGAGAGAGAGAGAGAAGGGGGAAAAGGGGGCGTTGGTTCCAGACTCACATTCTAATTGCTTAGTGACTAGAGAGGAATAAGAAAGTTAGCTTCTCTTTCATCTCCAGTTTCTAAACATGGGAGAAATAACCTTACTGGTACATCCTGGGTCATAAGCCCACCCTGGGTATAACTGTGGAGAAAGGACAACTATCAAAAAAGGCATAATCTGAGCACACACCCAACCCCTTGGCCAGCGGATGAGTCTGTTACCAGAGGAACAACACAGATGCTGGGCAGACTATACCAGAGCCACTTCAAAATGCAAGCAAACCCCACACACCATTGGGAAGCATTTAATATATGTATATCCTAAAGGAATGTAAGATAAAAGCAAAAAAATACATATTAACACATGAAGCCTGGGGTAGTCCATTTTTATAGATAATGATTGGCTCTGACAAGGAGTAAAATCAGAATTCACTCAGGTAAACATTTGTTCTTTCATGAAAAACAGTATCTGTTCTTTGGTAAGATAAAAAGGAAAGCAACAACTTGATTAGAAGCAGTAAAGTATGTGAACTATTTATTGTTGGTCTTTCTACCAGTCTCTAGTATATTATTCCCATGACTGGTCACAACATTCCCAAAAAAGAAAAAGGACAATCACAGCGATCTATAACAGTTTAGATTATTTACACTATTTCTTAATGTGTTTAATATCCATGGCACTCTTTAATCAAGAATATAAAGTCATCTACTTAGGTTTTGCCATTCAAAGTTGGGAACATTCTTAGAATCACATTATCCTAAAGTAATGGACTGGAATGATAAGTAACTAAGTCTGCAAATATAGCAACCATCAATAACATACATTTTTCCAAATTATAATTCTAAAAGATATGTATTATTCTCTGGACCTCACAAATTCCAAGAAGAGTCCATTTTTTATTTTTTGGGTTTTTAAGATTTTATTTATTTGACAGAGAGACACACAGCGAGAGAGGGAACACAAGCAGAGGGAGTGGGAGAGGGAGAAGCAGGCCTCCCGCTGAGCAGGGAGCCTGATGTGGGGCTCAATCCCAGGACTCTGGGATCATGACCTGAGCTGAAGGCGGACGCTTAACGACTGAGCCACCCAGGTGCCCCAGAAGAGTCCTTTTTATCAGTACTGGGTAAATGTGCTTTCAATCCTGCAGCCAACCAGTTAAGACTATTTTAGATAGAGAATGTGATACCAAAAAAGCCTGTCTCCTCCCTCTAATACCATACCTGACAAAATCGTAGTTGTACCTGAAGAGAACGTGAGTTTAAATAACTGTCACCTAAAAATATGCATAAATTCCTATATCTGGTGCCAGAGCAATGATATAGTGCACTGTATATGTGCCTACCTCTGTCTGGAGGACAGCTGTCTGACCTGTCCTTGGGTGTCTGGACTTTTCTCCCATTTGATACCCAGGATGCTTAGTATATCCCCTGGGGCAACTGGGTGGTGAGGAGGACACCTCTTAGGACGAGTTCCTTACAAAACCTACTCCATCATGTTTCTTTTCTTTTTTTTTTAAAGATTTTATTTATTTGACAGAGAGACACAGCGAGAGAAGGAACACAAGCAGGGGGAGTGGGAGAGGGAGAAGCAGGCTTCCCGCCGAGCAGGGAGCCCGATGTGGGGCTCGATCCCAGGACCCTGGGATCATGGCCTGAGCCGAAGGCAGACGCTTAACAACTGAGCCACCCAGGTGCCCCCATCATGTTTATTTTCTAATACTAAAAGTTCACTGCTCTTCAAATCCTGGACTTGCTCATCAGTATTTCCTCTATTTCGATAAAGCTGAATTAAAAGTACTTTATTCAAGGAAGTAGCCTGGGCAGAAGAAAGAACAGTGTTCTGTAGAAAAAGGCATTCAATATTTAGAAACTTTTCTGAACAGAAACAAGAGAGACTGAAAAGAAAGAAAAAATTTAAATTTTGTTGTCATTGTGACTGGATTCATGGTAAATTATCCCCACAGCCTCTTGTGGCCTAAGAGGAGGTCTTGTGCAAGTAGCCCACTGGGCCTCAGTAACATAGAGAAAGCCTCTTAGGGAGCCCTCTGGATACAGAGAAATACTGCATTATTTTAAAATGAGAAAACTGACTAGATCAATTAGGTTTACAACCCTCTTCTCATAATAAACCTTAGTCTTTGGCAAAGCACAGATGGTTGGTTTATAAAGGCAACTTCTTTGTGGGACATCAGTACCAACAAACCCTACACCCCTTGGTCTCTCCCATGAACCATGTACTTCTCCCATACAGAGATGTTCCTGTTTGCCTTATTGAGCACCTATTTAGTTACAGAAAGTGTGGGAGGAGAAGGGGTGTTTTAGGGAAACAAGATACAATCACAAAATCAGAGGCTCTAAAAGAAAAGTCAAGGGAGGCCAAAAGAAAAGCATAATCATTAAGACAGCATTTCTCCTACTCAAATTCATATATCATTCAGAACTAGTACAATGCTGCCTTGGGCATACTCTGGGTGGAGTTATTTTTCTCCCTCATTCTTCACTGAAAGTCTTCCTAAGGGCTCATCTTGGTACAATTTAGTGTACCTATCACAAAAGATAAAGATAAATCCAATGTGAGCACCAATTGTAAAGATAAGCCTTCTCAGCACTTATAAAACAAGTAAGATAATCATTTATATTTTTTTTGTCTTTCACTAAAATGTCATAGCACACTTGAGAGAACAAAGTCTATATGGCTACATGCAGTGTAAAATGCTTGAAGAAAACTAGTCAAAAACTGCTCATGAGATACACAATTATGATTACTGATATCCTTTCAATGAACTATGGGATTAAAATGAAAAACGCACAGCCTGGGAGAAATGTCTATTCCACATTTCAAGTTGTGATCTGCCGCATTGGCATGAGTTTTGGTGAAACCTGGTAAAAGAAAGAGAAGAAAAAAATGACCAAATTGTGTAAAAAAAAAAAAAAAAAAAAACAAAACTCACGGCATAAACATCTCCAGACTTGAATGATGTTGGTACCAAACAGCCTTACCATGGACCTCACCTAGTTTCCTCATTATTTTCCATTCTAAACCAACAAGACAGAAAACTCTTTTCTGTTTACATTTTGTGTATTTAGTTGTTCTCAACCTTCTTGCACATGATAGCTCCTAAATTAAGGATCATTAAGACTCGCAACAGAGAGGGGGTAGAGGAAGAGCAGACAGAGACAATAAAGGGTTCAGATAACCAAGCTCTCTACTGAACCGATCACTGAGCTCTGAGACTGATGCTTCTGAGACTACTCAAAACAGAGACACACAGTAAGGCTCAAGTCTCAAAATGGTCAAAATAAGTCCAGTCAATTCACAATTTTGTTAAGAGACAACATAGTTTTGGATTAACTGGATACATATTAATGAAGGTAAGTATGATCAATGACAAATTTTATCAGAAATTTCATAATCAGAAATGGAAATGATCTAAAGACAGTAAAAAGATTCCAAGTCATCTTTAAAAAGGTAATAGCATTAAAAATATTAAAAATTGACCATAATTATGTTCAATGTACAGAACAGTACATGCATTCCTAGAAGTCTTGAAGCAGAGAAAAATGAGGACAGGTCTACATTTAATGGTAGAGCTGGTAGAAGAAGAAACCTAACCGAAAAGTAAGCGGTTTGGCTTAATTTTGGCTGATCTTTCAAGGTGTAATGCCAGGTACAGATGTCTTCATTCAATCAGGCAAATATCCATTGAGTCCTAGTAAGTAACAGTGCCCACGGAAAGCACAGTAGGGCATATTGAAATCTAGATGATTTTTTGAGCCCCTCAAGAATGAAGAATGGAAGTGGGCCTAGTTGTCATTTTGCCTTCCGGAATAAACAGTTCATATTTTGTTAAACTAATGAACAAATGAATGAATCAAAGATTAAATAAGCTTCAAAGAACTAGAAGAAAGGTTTTAATACAGGTTAAGACAGTATTAAAAATAGAAGGAGCAGGCAATTATTTGGCTTTGATGAGGTTAAATATTTTTAGTTCATTTATAAATTGTTTCTGTATTAACTCTTCATAATGTCAAGAGTTAATGCCCCTTTTCCATTTTTCTACTAAAAGAATGACATGATCAGAATAAAAAGGATCAGTATGGCTTCATATATAGCTTAAAATAAATGACAGCTCATTCAGACTTGCCAGTTCCAAGAGCAGATACATAATAATAGACAAAATAATAGACATATAATAAATAGACAAAAATCACAGCCTACATGTGCATAGATCTTCAATTCTAATGAAAAGAATAAAAGACATATGGGCTCTGTGTATTTAGAAAGTGTGTCTCACAAACAACCCATTTTCTTTTTTTAAACAACAGAACATCTGTAGAAATAATTTAATGAAATAAAACTTTTTTTGGGGGGGAGATCACAATCAATAGAGGCTTTGTAGCATTTCCTTTAAAAGGAAATGATATGCACTCACCTTAATTTTATAAACTAAACATATGATCATTTTCCTTGGCATACTGACCCCTGTTTGGGGCTCTAACTACCATTTATATCCTCAATATGGACTCTGACTTCTATGAAAAAAGAAAAAGAAGCTTTATGCAGACTGACCTGGCCTATTTTTGTAATGAAAAATATCTACTAAACTACTATTTTTCATCCTGTTCTCTCACAGTCTCATCAACATCTTAAGCCCATGCAAGCTGAAGCAGATTATCCTGCCAAGGTGATCCACAGGGGGATATAAGATTATATGATTTAAGTGTAGAAGATAAGCCAACTATTTGTTTTCCCAGTCCACTGAAATCCCAACTGTATACTGTTTAATTCTGTCATAATGCCAGTTCATAACAGATATTGAGTATACATTTATTCAACTTAGCAAAGAATATCTACAGTTGGCTTCTTTCAGATTTCACTGCAAACATATAAAAAAGCAGTATTCTTATTTAATTTTTGCCACTGGTGGTTTAGATGTATTCCTGCCTGGAGAGTAAGACCAAGGTCCTTGGGAGTAGGAACTATGCCAATTTGTTCTATTTTATTCACATTTCATAACTCAATATGGGACACAACTGGATGTTTAATAAATAGTCATGGATGACTAATGACCTCTGGAAGTTTATTTTACCACATGATGTTCAAATAGGGATTCAAATTTTAAAAAAATTTTAATTAAACAATAAAGACAGAAGGAAATATTCTGCTTCAAAAAAGGCCCACAGACATATATGGTAAAGAAAAAACTATTTTATGTAACATAAGCATGCATTAGAAAAGAAAGAAATGAATATAACTGTTTGAATTAACTACTCAGTGAAAAAAGAGACTTTGGAGATAATGCAATTTAAGTGGTGGGATTTCTCCTTTTCTTTCTACTTCGGCCCATCAAGTAACTGGCAGTAACACACGGAGTGATATACAGAAATCTGACATTTTCATTAGTTGGTCACAGCTTTAATATGAGAAAATGTTAGCCAACACATCTTCCAAATTATTTTGACCTATGTTTTTACACCCTTTCTTATTATGCAACAACCTGGCTGTCTGACTATTCCCTTCTAGAATGCGTATTTCCAGATCTACAGTGAAGACTGAGTGGGCCTTTTCTCAAGAAGAAATTTTGACTAACTTACATGAAGTCACATACAGAGTAAAATGCGGCCTATGCAGTAATAACCACATGGAATAGCTTCTGAATGATCAAGAAATGTTATCCTCAATGTGCTTTTATGATTAAATGTATTTTATCGATAACCCAGCTATTAAACAGAACATGTTATTAATCAGAGCATTCCAGTCCCTAGCATTACAGAAAAAGAATCTGCTATATGTGATTTCATCTGTCAGGGTCTAAAGAGATGCCACTGATCACCAGATCCTCAAAAGTGAGTTCTTTTGTTGAGATGGTTCAGTTGCTACCACACCTTTTCATTTTCGGACACTAACATACAAATTAATATTTTATCTCAACACCCTAATTTGGAGGAAACAAGATCGATCACATGTTAATGTCAAAAGAGAAGGAGTGATATGGTAATAAAACAAAAACCACAGAGGTATTTTTCAGTGCATTGAGACATGGAAACTATCACTTAAAAAAAAAAGGCAAAAACAGTAAAACTCCACCTTTTTCATCCTGACTTACCTACATGAAAGAAAAAAAAATAGATAACTATAAGGGTCCTTTCTTCGCATATTCTCTTTTGTACCAAAGAACTGAACATGATGTGGATCTCAAAATTGTCACCTGATGAAGAAGAGGTTAACTTATCCACATAGGGAAAAAATACAAAGAAGAGCTGATACATAAGAAGAATTGTTTGCTTTTATCACTGGAGTTGATAAAAGCAAATATACTAAATAGTTAAAGTATAAACAAATCTCATTTTTCCCCGAGGTTACTGAAAGGCTAATTAAAGATGTGCTTTTTGTGCGAGGTACTGCTGACAGACTTCTTTTTTCCAAAGGGAAATTCAAAAAAGGTTAATAGACAAAGACCCTCATATAGTACCAGAAACAGTTATATGTGGATAATGAATTATGCAGCAAAACTGTTTTCACAGGCATTTGTTATGCACTAATAGGTACCAGCCAAGATGTACTAAGAAAGAAGTCTATGAAATATATGCATGAGTTATCGAGTAAGTTTTGTTAAATTTCTCTAGGATGGGTAGCTTCAAATTTCTTCCCATTATAAATATATTTCATTTTAACTAGTAAATCCCTTCTTAAAAAGGTATGTGAGAGGCAAATTCTTTTCCTTCAGTTCTTCAGAGACATTTCCCCTTTACTTTTGATTAACTTTCAATGGATTTGAGCCATCCTCTCAACTCCCATTAGGTAGGTGATCGGTGATTCATTAACAAGCACTTAACATTAAAGGGTGATTATTTATATTATAGTACTATTCTCCTTGTTTTAAAAAAGAGACTTGTGGGTTTCTTAAATTTATAGTCCCCTGATGTTTATGTCCTTTGTAAGTCTCAGTTTTTATGCACCAGGTTTTTCTTTAAATGGAGGATACACCTATTTTGTGACTATAACTCAGTGTCGAGCTCATCATTCTAATATGTTCCATGGATGGAATTACCAGGCATCAAAGTTAATCAAAGAGAAAGCCATAAGTCATAGCTGGGTTTAAAACAAGGCAGTATCATTTCTCCGTGTGTGGCTCACATTTTTGAGTCAATTTAGTCTAGCCACAGCTGACAGGTAACCAAGAACAAAGGATTGCTAGGGACTTTACAGGAAGTAGCTTAGAGTTCAAGCTCCACCTTCTGCTTCCAGCAGCTTCTGGGGGTTCCTCCCCCTCCTGCTTCTGACTCCTGAGCCAAATGCTGGCCATGAGTCAGAGCCTGCTCCTGCTCCCACCTGCTCTCATCTGAAGGCACCCCTCCTTTTCACTCCTGTTCTCTGTAAAGGTCAACTCCAAAAATGATCACAAATTAATGGTTCATGTCCTGTAAACACCCATTAATCAAGCTCATGATATAGGACAAGTGGCTGGATTTGTTCACAGAAACACTTACTGCAAAATCACACCCAGTGCTCTTTTTTATGTCATCCACGGTCAGGCCTTCCCAGAGTTCAATCAGAGTCAGTCCTTTCTTGCTGTCCACATCAAACACAGCCTGTCAGAATCAAGAAAACAACAATGACAATTTCTATCACAGTAATTATTTTTATAACATGAAACAGAAATAACCTCTCAAGTTCTTAAAGGAGAGACAAGACCCAGGACAAAAGACTCCGAAAATCAACAATGAGAAAATGTCAACTCTAACGATTACATTTTGGTGAGAATAAATGCCAGCTCCCTAATTGGCAATTAGCTGTGGAGCATTGTTGATGCCAGAAAATAAATGAGTGTTGACTACTGATGGCACTTGCCACCTTTGTAACCAGTTGTTTTTTTTTTTTTAACTACTTTCCTTTAGTTAGGTCTAACACTTCTGGGTCAAAATTTCAATTAGATGAATAATGATTTGAAGAAAGAAAGGAACGCAGAAAAGTAGGGAGGGAGGAGAAATTTGGAAGGTGAATGCACAAGGACGGTAGGGAAAGCTGATCAACGCTGCTGGGTAAAGAGTTACAGGAAATAAAAGAAGGCAGGCACTCAGAAATGCCTACAAGTAACTATAAAGGGATCGTAGTCCTGATCCTGGAAGACCCCCAGGTAAGTATTAAAACTTTCTCTTTAAGTCCAGTGAAGACACACAGGTGTGAGAGAATAGCATGAGAATCTCCCTTCGGTATGCACTCAAATGAAGATGCTTGCGCTTGGGACAAGCATGAGAAGGCTAACCTCCCACTCTAAACATTCCTTTACAACACTCTGGTTGGTCACACCAGGTGATGGTAGTGCCAATTGGTATAGTGTGACCTCAGCAGGCAGACTCAACCTGTTGTATCTGATTTAGGACACCTGCTGTTACAACTGGCAATATGACAACCTGAGTGGAAGGGACCGACACAGTCATATTTTAATATAACCTCCCACTCAGGAAAACCTTCTGAGATGGTCACTGGGGCTCTGCTGGGAAGCTTCAGTGTCAGGAGGCTCACTTGGCTCACGGCGATTAGACTGTCTATGGATAGGACGCTCTAACCATAAGAGCCCCAAACTGCTTCCCTCTGACTGTCACTCGCTGGGTCTACAAGTCGTCCTCCAGAGCAACAACACTTTTCCCACTCTCAGCTTCCACGGCTAGTTTCCTTTTACCCAAACTTACGTTTCCTATATCCCTCCCGTTCTCCAGATTTACCTTGCATTCAACTATTATTCGCAGGCTGATCTTGATTTTCAGCTAGCTTGGAAATCAAACCGTAAATTGCCATTTTAAATACACTCCGGCTTAGAAGGCTAATATGAAGATACAGCCACATGTAGAGGAAAAGAATCCTGGCTTTCAAGCTGGACTGGAATTCCAGCTCTGCAACATGCTAGCTAAGTGGTCTTTGGTGAACCTGTCTTTGCATGTATACATGGATATCAAAAAAACCCACTTCCCAAGATTGTTATACAGGACAAATAAAATAAACATACTCTGAGCACCTGGCATCATGCCTAAGACACAGTAGGGGCACCACACCTTAAGTTCTTTCCCCTTAATAGCTTAACTTATTGTCACCTATGTGTGAACTCAAATCAAAGACCTGAAATGCTTATTAGTTTCCAGTTAATTGATTTTTACCCCCATGAGCAAAACATTAAGAGGACCAGTGATACCTGCATTCTCTGATAAATTCACAGATAACCTGGTTGATTTTACTGGAAAAGAGGATTTAAATTTTGGAGGAAATGTTCTGGCAAACTTGCTTTTTGTTTGCACAAAAAATGTTCTAAAAAAACCTTTTTTCAGCAGAGATATGTGTTTTGAGAGGAAAGAAAAAGGTCATTTAGGAATGTCTGTATGCTGCATTAGATTATTTAATTCCAAAATGACAACTTAAAAATTTTTTTAAATGGATACTTTTGCTTTGCAGAACATGTGTCAAGCATTATTCATACTGATTTTCTTTCCCCTGCAAAAATGGAACAACTATAAATTTATCAAAATGGAATGAATAAAAAACTCCAGATTGTGTTATTAAGAATAGGCAGGGAAGGGATTTGAGGAGAAGATAACTGTGATATCATGAATATAAGGCTTCAGTGATCAGGGAGAGAAGATCTATGGCAAATTGACTTACTGCTTTTAAAAACTTTTAACATCTTTATCAAACCCTAATTAGCTCTCAAGGTCATATACTAGAAAGCCAAGCATCTATTATTAAAATGAAGGAAATTTACTTTTGAATATTTAGGAAGATTTCCATTTAGTGGTATAAAGTATAAACAAAACCTTGATAAAAACGGGGACTACATTACAGATAAAGCAGTTAATCATAGCCCAGCTGCTGGCAAGGAAAGCATCTTTCACAATCTCATTCTAGCAGCACGAAACTAGGAAATCAGGGTCAAAACATCTCCAAAGCCTCTTTCAAATGGCAAACCAATGGAATTTTCCTTAGAAGTTGAAAATGGAATCTAGTCCCTTATCTGCCATGGCAGGGCGGAACACATTCATTGCCCTTCATGGCACTGCATTCTCATTCACTCTTGCAAAAAAGATTTATTGAGTGCCTACTGTATCTAGAGCACAGGGGTAAACACGCACCATCCCCTTCCCTGAGGTTCCACAGCTGCCTTTCACTTTGCCCATTTTTTGCTATCATCTACAGTAAAGGCTCCAATTATCCCCATATGCTAATGACTTCCACAAGTTGAGTCCAATACTGACTTCCCTCTGAGCTCCAGATCCACATCTCTAATTGTTTATCAGAAATCTCTGACTGGAGGGCGCCTGGGTGGCTCAGTCAGTTAAGCGTCTGCCTTCTGCTCAGACCCTGATCTCAGGGTCCTGGGATCCAGCCCAGCATAGTCATCACATCAGGTTCCCTGCTCAGCAAGGAATATGCTTCTCCCTCTGCATCCCCCCCACTCCCGTTCATGTGCTCTCTCTCTCTCTCTCTCAAATAAATAAAATCTTAAAAAAAAAATCTCTGACCAGATGTTCAGGATGTTACCATATTCAGGAATATCAAACTGAGTGTGTCCAAACTGAACCCATTCTTTTCCTACCTCCGACTGCTCCTCCCGTCTCTTCCTACAGTCTAGGCTTCATTAGGAAATCTGAGGAAGCACCTCTGCTTTAACAGTCATATCCATTTCATCATCTAGCTAGGTTGAGTCCATCTGGGTCTCTCAAATCTGTCCTTCTGTCCTGTGTGTCCTGATATTTCTGGCCTACGTCAGTCACCGCAGGAGTCTTCTAACTGGACTGTCTCATGCCTTCTCCCCCTACTCTGCATAAAAGCTACAGTGTTCTTTTTAAAATGCAAATCTAATCAATCTAAAATCATTGAAGGGCTCCCAACTACCTTCCAGATGAAACCCAATTTCTTAACAAGGCATTCACATTCATTCATTCATTCATTTTTGAGAGAGCAAGTGTGTGTGTGCGCATGCACACGCGAGTAGGGGTGGGGGGACGGAGAGGGAAGAGTATCTCAAAGCAGGCTCCACACTCAGGGGGGAGCCCTACTGGGGGCCCCATCTCACAGCCCTGATGAGATCATGACCTGAACCGAAATCAAGAGTTGGAGGTTCAACAGACAGAGCCACCCAGGCGCCCCCACATTCCTTTACGATTTAGCCCTTCACTGTCTTTTCAACTCTAGTCTTTGGAGTCTGGTCCTGCCCTCACTCTAAACTGTTCCACTGGCAGGTCCTTGGGTAGGCTGCTTATTTTATAATTCCACCATGACTCTGCCTATTTTCTTTCCTTTGCCTAGAAGGACCTCTTTGGTCTTATTCTCACTTGTACACCCCTACTTGCCTTTCAAGACTCATCACTCATCTACCAACTTTCTCATCAAGAGAAGTGCAATACATTTATTTATTCAACAAGCATTCACTGTGTATGGGCAAACACCATGCAAAGTCCTGGATAAACAGTAATGAGTGAGACAGGCAGAGTTCAGAGGTTATTTCAATAAAGTGGTCAGTGTTGAGTTAGGGCATGTACTAGGATTCAGAGAAGTACCCAGAAGACTTGTGGAGAGATAGGGAAGATCTGCCTGAGAAGGAAACATATAGCTGAGACATAAAAAAAATGAGTAGGTATTAGCCAGATGAAAATGGTGGGAAGAGTATTCCAGGGAGAGAAACAGGATGTGCAAAGTCCCAGAAGAACATGGGGGGTGCAGAAGACAACACAATTCACAGCATTTCAATGCAGCTGAAGTGGGGAGAATGTAAAGGTGGAAAGAGAAACTGAGACTGGAGGAGAAAAGGTAGAGTCTGTGAAATGCCTTGCAAAACACAAGAAGTTTATATCTGGAATGCTTGGGTGGTGTAGTCAGTTAAGCATCCGACTCTTAGTTTCGGCTCAGGTTGAGATCTCGGTCGTGAGATCGAGCCCTGCATCAGGCTCTGCATTCAGTGTAGAGTCTGCTTAAGTTTCTTTCTCCCTCTCCCTCTGCCCCTCCCTCCCCACCAGCTCTCTCTCTCTAAAAATAAATAAATAAATCTTAAAAACAAAAAGAAAGAAAGAAAGGTTTGTATTCGATACCGTTAGAAGCTTTCCTGACACTCTCCCCAGGCTGATAGGCAGCCTCTCTCTATGTTCCTAACTCACCATCCAGCATGTATCACTATCATGGTCTTTATCACATGTATTACTCTAACTGTGGGTCCTGCTGGAGGCTGGGTGTCTAGCCCTCCTGAATGTGCTCCCTTGGGGCAGAGACTGTTCTCCTCTTTTCTGTAACACACTATTGGGAATACTCTAATTCAGACAAAATGCTCACAAAATGCTTATTAAATGAATAAATGTATAAAACAATAATGTGAATAGGAAGAAAGGATATATAAGTTTTTAAAAATGGCAGTAAAGTTAAATAATATGTTCTATCATAAGGAAATGTAGGCGTAAGATGACAGGTGCCAAAAGGAATGGCGCATCACTCGAAAGATGAAGCCATGAGTGCTAAAATGATGAACATGAAAACTGCATTAGGCTTAAGGGATGGATAGGATTTGGGGAGGCAGAGTCACGTGGAAGATATTGCAGGTAAGAGCACTGACCTGGTAACAGCAAGGACAGAGCGTGCATGGACCGGGGAAGGGGAGAGGGCTTACTTAGAAGAGGAAGATCAAGGGGGCAATGCTGCTGGAATTATCCTTCCAAGGTCTACCACTTTCTTAAAGAAAACAGGATCGAGGACTGCTTTGTCTTTATTTTCAAAGTAATGGATTCTTTTCAATAAGCCCTGTCACCACAGTTTTGGAGGGGTTCAAGAAGTGGTAAGACTCAGGGAATAAATGGTGAAATAAAATATTCTGCCCTTTTATCTAACTTCTATTCTTTACAAGTCATCTTAATGGAATTCCACATAAATGGTCCTAGGGGAAAGCACCATTTACAACAGAATGCTGTTTAAAATGTGGCTTTGTAAGGTATTATGAACCTCCCCTCACAGGGCTGCTTTAGGGTGCTTCTTACCACACTCAGTGAGGGGCAGCAAACCAGGTTAATGGCAGGATGCCATCCCTACAGCTCTCAGCAAAAGGAAGAGCATCCAAACAAACCAACCCTGATACAGGTAATTTTGTTTTTTGCTTTCACCAAGATACTGAATCAAAATGACACCCTCCTAGCTCACTTCTGAGACTTATGTCATTCCAACATTCTAGGTTCAAATCTGGGTCAGAAAAATGACTATAGACAACTGTCATTGAGGCTGCTCTCAGATCTGAGCAGTTTCCAGTTGTACTATTAGCCAAGATTTCCCATCTAAGAAAAAATCTAGGGAAGCATGAAAATGGCTGGTGTGTTCTGAAGTCCACTTTATAAAAAGAGAGCTGAAAGCATGCAAGAACCATAGAATAAATTTCTTGGCTATGGAACTATGGGACTTTTACTGCAATCTGAACCCAAATGATTAAAACCCAATTTTGGCTGACTTTCCCAAAATGAAACCCAACAATTTACACTTGTGATTTGGGAAAGCAAAGAAGAAAGGTAGGAATACTCTTAACTTTATATATATCATCTATCTTAGACATCTTAATAGTCCAAGTAAAAGGATGAATAAAACTTTTGATTATACACACTGTCAAAGTTACCAAGGACAGCAGTTCAAGTCTGTATATGCGTATTTCCAGAGAGTTGCACGTTAAGAATTCTACATTTAGAAACATTAAACTGATGAATTTTCCTATTCAGTCTACCCACAGACTAAATTAATCCTATGACTACCAACACAACACCGTTTTAGAGGGTAACAAAAAAAATTCTAAAAATGCTTATAAATAAAAAAAAGGGGTGACAGGCATTAGAGGGAATAAAAACAGGCACCGTACCTTTTCAGTAATGATGCGGTTGACACACTGCTTTCCAGTCAGTGGCAATGTACATTTCTCCATGATTTTATGTACATTTCCCTGTTTTAAAGAAGGAACATCAAAAAGAGTAGTTAGGGACCAATTCTTATTTAGAAGTAGAATAATGACAGGACAAACAGGAACCATCAGAGAAATTGTCTCTTAGGTACAGGCTGTTTTAAAATGTTTGCACAGTCACACTTTTGCTTTCTTTCTGGAGACAGCTTCTGTCCCTAAAATAATTTAGGGAGAATACCAAATGAATAGCCAAAGTCATAAATTATTTAGGTGGGAAACACCTTGCCACAAATTGGACTTCTCAAGTCTCAGTCCTCATATCCTGTAATGAGAAATTTCACTTCTAGTGTCCTGCTTATTTTTCTCTTTCAGGGAACGGTCTCCTTGACAAACATGAGCTATTATTCACCAAGGACAGGAAGCACACATAACACACAAATGTCTAATACCCTCTTCTAAATTAATTTTGTTTGTTAGAGAAGTAAAACATACGTCAATACAGCAGTGCCTAGCCTCCCCTCCTTACTTTTAGACCTGTTCTCAACAGGAATCCATTTTATTTTACTTTTCTTAGCATTTTCTATCTCTACACATTTTTCCTGTTACCTCTTCGTTTTTAAATATTGTGTTTATCATGCTATTTATTTCTTGATTAATCCATTTTTGACTCTTATCTACTAACTTCTTATTATGGCACATGAAGACTTAACTGTCTTACAAAACCCCATCCTCCTTCATCATCTGCAGTTCTTCAGTAGAGATGTGTCATAATTCGTAGTTAACTCCGTGGTTAGAATGTACATTGTTCTGCCTAAATGACCATGTAAAACTGTTCACTGCAGGGCCAGGCAGTGTAGTACACCACGATTATATTCATATTCTCATACAGCTATTTGCGCTTTTCCTAGAGTTTGTCTGAGCCTCAGTTTGCTCATCAGTAAAATGTGTGAGCTGGCCGAAATTCGTATTTTTTCAAAGTTTCTTTTAGCTACTGTACCCTTTCTTCAAACATAAAATAAAAAGGGATTAAGAGTAGAAAGCAGGTGGGGGGGTTAAGCAAAGTCAGTAAAGAGGAGTGGGAGGTACCGGTTTCCAGTTACAGAATGAATAAGTTATGGCAATAAAAGACACAGCATAAGAAATATAAGGAATATAGTCAATGATACTGTACTAGTCATGTATCAATGTTTCAGGACAGATGGCAGCTACACCTCTGGGGAGTATAGCATAATGTACAAACTTGTTGAATCACTATGCTATACACCTGAAACTAACGTAACACTGTGTGTCAACTATGCTCAAAAAAAAAAAAAAAAAGAGGGGAAAGCAGGTTTTCCCCCCTTCGCCCCCATCCTCCAACCCCCATCCCTACATCCCAGGTGTCGAGGTGGCCTCTGGGACACATATGGAACACAGCTGAAACATTAGCTCTGATTATGACTATGATTAAGCTTCTTTCTAAGTATCAAGCACCAGGAGCCTAAATTAATATTTCCCTCAAGGCTGAAGGCTATCCCATCATATTCTAAATCTTCTATTAAAAAATGGCAAAATGCTTCTACTGCTTCTTTTTGGATCTAAAAACACCACACATGATGTCATGTGCATTACCCAAGTATTTTCTGAATAAATGAATGGGGAGGAAAATGGAAGGTCTACTGGGAATCCCAGATGGATTTCAAGAAGACAAACTCTATTACTTTAATCAAAATGAGTGTGAAATACATATAAAATGGATAGACATTACACCTTTAATAACAAGTTATATGCTTCTGGATCTTACTGTATAAGAACATTTATAACTGTAGAAATAAAACCTCATTTTCACTTCATTTCTAATGCTCTATTTTCCTTTCCAGTTTCAAAGAAAGTTTGCACGTGTCAGAGAAGCTTAATTAAAGAGCTGAAATTAATAATGAATATTCAAGCTTGTAGGTTGTCAGGTCTCCTTACATGTAATATAACTCAAATAAGGCATGTCACAATGAATTCCGGGCCTGCCTGGGAACAAAGTGAACAATCTGTGGGCCTCTGAAGAACATTTTTTGCAGGGAGCTCCTACTTTGTTCTCATTATTTGAGCAAGATCTGCGTCTGGTGTAAAAGAAACTACTTGGATTTTAATGAACAACCAACTCCGTTTTAGGAGAAATCAGGAATTTCAACAGACAGAACTGTGAGCTCCCAGAAGAGACCTTTTCTAGACTATTTGCTGTGTAAACAGTATAACGTATGGTTAAGAGTTTGGGCTGGGGTGCCTGGGTGGCTCAGTTGTTTAAGCGACTGCCTTCGGCTCAGGTCATGATCCCGGAGTCCCGGGATCGAGTCCCACATCAGGCTCCCTGCTCGGCGGGGAGTCTGCTTCTCCCTCTAACCCTACCTACCCCCTCTTGCGTTCTCTCTCTCACTCTCAAATAAATAAAATCTTTAAAAAAAAAAAAAAAAAAAAAGAGTGTGGGCTGGAGCCAAAGACCCGGGGGTAATGTCTGGCTCTGCTCCACTGGCTGCGCAGAGTGTGTGGGCCTGTGCCCCGCCCCCATCAGCCTTACCCCATGGGGTTCTTGCAAAATGAGATGCAAGTGTCCAGCACTCAACAAGTGCTCTATAAATGTTAGTTACTATTGTTTATACAAAACATATTTAACATTTCTATCATCTACCAGGGAATTCTTTAGGAGCTCTATATGAAGTTAGACATGTAATTGTGCAGAAAATGGTCTAACCACAATTCCTGAGACCACAGAACTAATGAAACCACATATGGCTGGCCTAGGAAACTGCCACCAATGCCTTCTTGCAGTGAGAACAATGTCACTAGAGGACTCCATTCACATTTAGCTTTAAGACACAACACATCTGCCTTCGGCTCAGGTCATGATCCCAGAGTCCTGGGATCAAGCCCTGCATCAGGCTCCCTGCTCAGCAGGAAGCCTGCTTCTCCCTCTCCCACTCCTCCTGCTTGTCTTCCCTCTCTTGCTGTGTATCTGTCAAATAAATAAATAAAATCTTAAAAAAAAAATAAAAATAAAAAAATAATAAATCCTAAAAAAGAGATGACAGGGTAGTGTGGTGGCAAAGAACACTGTGTTAAGAGTCCAAAGACCCATTTATTTTTCTCTTGCATCTGCCTTTGAACGGTCATTTGGTCCCTTCAATTCCCTGTGCTGTGGGTCCCCCTACAATGGCCTTGTCTACCTTACTTGATCACTGTAGAAATCGCACAAAATGCAGTAGTAGGAGGGGTGGAATCTACACACAAATATTTAGGGTCAGTGGGGTGTGGTTCATCCTGATCATTTTGCTTCTTTCTGTCTTTCCCCATGAAGAAATGCCACAAGTCAGAGGAACAGATACAAATGTGTAGCATTAAACATGCTCTGACCAGGCTCAGGGGCTCCTGATTTCACTATGCCCTTACATTTGCTAACTTCATCATAACCTTGGTGAAGAGCTAAATCTCTTTCTTCCACCTGCTTCTCCAGTTTTTCTTTTCCCCCCTTGGTCTCTTAAAGGTTTCATGTAAGACCTGGGAAGTCACGTTTTCTTTTTAAATGATTTAGGGACTCAGTACTTCCTATTACTTGCTTCATGGTGATCTCTCTTTAATTCTTTAGATACTTGTGTGAAATCCTGCATCTAAATTCTTCAGTAACAAACAACTCTGGTTAAATGATAATAAATCCCCCTTGTTATCATGATGGTAAGCTTCATGTTATCACAATGGACTTAATCCCAAACAACAAGCTCTCTTTTTCACAACACGATGATTTTTGCATTTGATATCAGCATTTTATTCACCTGAGGCAATGGAGCGTGCATGTAATAAGGTTTTGCTTTAAATAAAACGCCATTTTATGCCCATCTTTTCTGTTAAGTGCTTTTTAAATGTGGCTGCAACATATTTCTTCTTTCAGGAAACTTCTTTGGGAAAGCCCCAGTGATCAAGTACAGAGAAGGCAAACTCTGCTCCTTAAGGGACCAAGTCTTAAAGCCTTTGTTCATGCTACTTGAACCACACACCACCACAGACTCCATCACCCCACATTCAAATGGAAACACCCTCCCTATTCTTTAGGACTGGCTGTCTGAATACTCTAATTCAGACTGAAGGAACTCCAACACAGCTAGAGCTGTAAAATACCACATGACTGAGTATCTAAGGGCCACCGGAGGCTGCTTTCTAGTCCCAAGATATGTACTTGTACATTCCCAACATCTCTGAACTCACTAGGAGAAGCACAGCTAGCAGAAGTATGTGATGGGGCTTACAAGACTTTGGGGAGATAAATAAAGGTATAATCAAAGGGAGAAGCAAAGACATCTCAAGACGGCAGTATGAAACATACACATTTATAAGTCAAGAGAGAAGCTGAGTGAATTATGGTTATTCTACCTCTTCTGCCCACTCCGTCCTACAGCTTCAAGGCTTGCATTAACACACTGAAAAGAGGGGCTACATAAGCTGAATTTTACAAGAGAATATTCAGTACTTCATCTGGTGGCACAATGAAACCTAGGACGGATCTATCTTTGGGTTTTTGTCAAAACATCATAAAAGGAGCTTGAATGTCACTGTCCCTTGTCTTTCCTTCTCCCCACTGGTCTCAATGCTTACACCAAGTGAAAAAGCGTCTATATACATACACACAAAAACATACCTCACAGGGAATGTCGTATTACAAAACACACTGACTGTCAAATCACTATGAAGATTGAAAAGAAACAGAAAAGAAACATGGGATTGGCTAACTAAAGAAAATCAGGATATGCAGGGTAAAAGGACAAGATGATAATTACTCACACTGAGTTTATACTCATGGGGTATTTTTGGCCTTTACACAGTACCTATTTGGTAGGGATTCCAATAATCCACAAAGGACTTGAGCAGAAAGACTCAGCTAGCTCTGAAGTAGAGACAGCTGCTATTACAAAATGGTTTTTATATGTGGATGTAATAACAGTTTGTGGTTACAGGCACATTCTCAATGGGAAGGCTAACCAAATGAGATAGTACATACAGCAAGGCATTTCCCTGAAAACAGTCTTCAGGGTTTTGAGATCTTAGAATAGAAGACCATTTTTCTTACATATAACACAAAAATCTTTATCATGGCCTTTTATTTTCTCTCTAAAGATTGCATCCTATGATCTCTAGCCTAAGGATGGTACAGCCCAGGCGTGAACAGGAGTGATTTTCTCTTTCCATTCATGAATTGTTGTGGTACATCAGAAAGCTTCTCTGTGAGTTAGTTTTCCTTTTAAGAACCGTGGATATTCAAAGCCTCAGAATTTAGAGTTATTAGCTTAATTAAATTTCTATAAGACATTTTAAAGAGCTTTATTGGTTGTTGGACTGTGTTCTGCTTTCTTTCTTTTCCATTATAAAATTTTTTTGGCAGGCATTTCCATCATTGATGAAGAAATAAAAAGGCAAAACCATGTAAGGATTTCTATTTTTTAAAGGTAAATATTTTTTTCCCTAAACAGATCCTAGCCACGAAATAGTCTCATCAACAACTTATAAAATATTGACAAGCTTCTATGAATGAAAACAATTAAACCAGCTGAAACCATGTTAATTATAAATTATTCCAACAAAGAAATACTTTATTTACCTTGGAATACTTATCAATGCTGCTGAAAATTATTCCAAGAGTGTTTCCCAGGAAAGAATTTTTTAAAAAAACCTTTCACATTTGTTGGACTTTGGTAACACATTTGGTCCAAAATAAATACGACTAATAAACCTCATTTACTTTATATAATTCCCCTCCATAGAAAGTAAAGACAATGTAAAACTGCATTCAAGATTTCTATAGGACACCTTTGCTATCAGATATAGATTAGACGTAATCAAAAATTTATTCATACTTATTCCCAATATCTTAAAAATATAATTATGATTCTTTTCATCCTTTCAGAATACAGAACTCCTACTGTAATAAAAATAAAATCTAAACCTGTTTTAGAAAGAGATCTTTGAGAAACAAACAGGGTTTTAGAGGGGTTGATGGGTATTAAGGAGGGCATGTACTGCATGGAGCACTGGGTGTTATATGAAAACAATGGATCGTGGATCATCACATCAAAAACCAATGATGTATTGTATGGTGACTAACATAACATAATAAAATTTAAAAAAAAGAAAGAGATCTTTCATTTATGTTCTCTAAAATAGGTACCCAAGCTTTGCTTGCTTCCAATAAATGACAACTATGACCGAATTTCTCTGCTTTTATGCTCTGAAAGTTATACCCTTAGGAAATATTTCCAGTACACAATACTGAGAACAAAGCACTTTCTTTTATTTTGTTAGTGGTAATGGTACCTGCCAGACAAAAAAGGTTATTAGAAAAAAATGGGGGCCCAAAGGCAGGATACATGGATTCTCAGCTTGCTTTTGCTCCTAATTTTGTACTTGACTTTTACCGGAATAATTAACCTCTATGGCACTGGGTTTGTTTTCCTTTGCAAAGGAAGCAACAAGACCTACCTCACAAGAGTATTGTAATGATGAGATATGGAGGCGGTCGTGAAACTGCTTCAAAAAAGTTAAAAGTGCTCTACATGTTCAAAGTCTCTTTATTATTTGAAGAATTAATGAATTCAATAGGTATTTATTGAGTCCTAATGGGCATCAGACAGGATTCGCTTCAGCTCTTACAATGGACAGAGCCCCTGCCCTCACAGAACTTATATTCTAGTGAAGGCGATGACGGTCCATCAGAAGAGGGGGTACTTCTGTTTTATAGAATAGCTGGGGGAAAGCTTCTCTGACACTTTGAAGAGAGACCTGAGTGAACTGAGGGAGCAAGACAAGAAGGTATCTGAGGAAGAGCCTAGAGAAGAACAGGTATTTTTGCAGGTACCTGTCTCACCAAAGCAAGGAGAGTCTTAGGGGAAACTCAAAAAGGGAAAGTGATCATTCTGAAACATGAAGCTTCCAGAAAAGGGCAGGTTTGGGTGAAACACTGGTACAGAGTTAGCTCTGATGAAGTTGCAGCCTGGTATGATAAAATGAACACAAGCTTGACCAAACTGAGTGAAGCTCCTAGCTCTATCACATACCTAGACAAGTTTCTTAACCTGCCCACATCGCAGTCTTACTTAAGAGGGTCACTGAGAAGCTAACGAGATTCAGTATGTACAATGCCAAGCACAAGGCCTTGTACCTCATAAAGACTCAAACTGTTACTACTTTCCTTCGTTTTCTTGCCATTTTTAGAGGGCAGAAGAAGGACATGTTAAGAGATGAAAAGAAGCCTAAGAAAAAAGGTAGCTAGACACCAAAAAACTGCCTAGGAAGAAGAAAACAGTAAAAATATGTTGCTTCTGCAAAAAGCTTTAGTTAGGGATTTCTAATCAAAAGTTTGAAGAACCATTTCTTTTCCTGTTTCAGAAATTCTGACTGAGACAAAAGAAAAGACTTTAAAAAAAAAAAAGAGAGAGAGAGAGAAAGAAAGAATTTGCTAAATACAGGCCTAATGTTTTAAAAACGAATGCACAAAAATAATCTAAAATGAGTTGGGCTTCAATGCCTATGCATCAACATTAAAGTAACAACAAAAAGGAAGTCAGAAAGAGTTTTCTCCAAATTAGACATTATGTTCCAGAAAATATTTGGATTTGATTTGCATGCTTGGCATCCTTTTGCCTTTGAAATGAAGTATCCTGGATGCTTTTGCAAGGCATCTCTCAAAAGTCACCTGCGTTGGTTTCATTTCTATTGTTTCATATTTATGCTCTACTGCTTACTTTCCACTGTTTACAAAACAATTTATGATATTTTCATATTTATTACAGTTTTCACAACAAAACCATTTCATGGCACACATCACTCTGTAACAGAACTCCCTCATGGGAAGCAAGACAGATGCAAATCCTCCAGCTCCATACTCTCCCAGGATGCTGCATCTCTAAATAAAAACAGGGCAAGGGATGCCTGGGTGGCTCAGTTGGTTAGGCTTCCGACTTGATTTTGGCTTGGGTCATGATCTCAAGGTCCTGAGATCAAGCCCCGCGTCAGGCTCCATGCTGGGCGTGGAGCCTGCATGAGACTCTCTCCACCCCTCTGCTCCTCCTGGCAGCGCGTGCTTTCTCTCTGTCTCTCAAAAAACAAACAAAAAAAACAAAACCAAAAATCCAGGACAAATGAACTAACATTTCCATTCAAATTAGCAGGTCTCAAGGTGAGAACAGGTAGATTTTGTGTTAAAACTAAGAATTATAAAAAATAGAGGGCAATGAACAAACAGCACAGACAATGAAGAGAGTACCACCCAGTAGCAATTTTTTTTTTTAGATTATTTATTTATTTATTTGAGAGAGAGAGAATGAGAGAGCGAGCACGAGAGGGAAGAGGGTCAGAGGGAGAAGCAGACTCCCTGCTCAGCAGGGAGCCCGATGCGGGACTCGATCCCGGGACTCCAGGATCATGACCTGAGCCGAAGGCAGTCGCTTAACCAACTGAGCCACCCAGGCGCCCCACCCAGTAGCAATTTTGCAAACCATCAGAAACCCATGGATTCAGGTCAGGAAGGCAATTAGCTCAGCTAGTTCAAAAACACTGAGTTGGGAACAAGGAACAAAGTTATACTGATAGCTCTGTAGTTAGAAGACTGGACTTTGGAATCAGAGACGCCCAGTTCTAATCTCAGTTCCACTAGTTATATGACCTCACGCAAGGAACTTAACCTCTCTGAAGCTGTTTTAGAAACCACAAAAAATACCTGTATCAGGTCCATGGGCTTATACATGCAAATACACACAGCGTGCTTAATATACTGTCAATAACAGTAAGCTCAATAAATGGTAGCTGTCATTTTTGTAGGATGATGATACCATTATCACCACCACACCACCACCAAATGTAAGCTCCACGATTTTTGTGTAGTTTGTCATTCCAAATAATAGAAGTACTTAACACATAATCAGCACTCCAAATAAAAGTATCTTACTTTCCAGAATAAGGACACTTGCTATCACCAAGTCCACCATTTTCTCACCCTTCCCAAAATGGCACTTCACAGTCTTAGTAAGAGGCCATATTGTCCACTTGAAAATAACTGTTGTTGAAAGGCCATATTCTGTTGTGTTTTTCATTTTGCATGCAGAGAGTAGCCACTCTAATCATCTTTAAACCTGAATTGCAACATCTACCCTGACATCTTTTCACTGAGTTTGAAGACATTATAGTTTTTACTTTTATTGTGTATGCAAATAATTAAAGAATACCCCACTGTTTCTTTCGCTCAAAGTTAAAGAACCACTTAGCTGAATGAGTATAAATAACTACTTTTATTTGCAACCTTTCTCTCTAAAATATAAATGCTATCAATTTGGACGAGCCTGAGAAAACAATAAAAACCATGACTGACATACAGGATTTCGGCATACCGGGAATTTCCAAACGTAGCACACGTTACCTTTGCAGAATGCTCCATGGTGACCACCACTTTGGTCTTCGCACTGGACACTAGATCCATAGCCCCTCCCATTCCTTTCACCATCTTCCCCTGCAAAACAGAAATGGAAAAGAAGATGTAATTCTTTTTCACTTCTTTTAGTATGTGGTAGAACAAAAGTAACTGGCAAGAATAAGTCACTGGAATAATGAGTGAGACCTTTATTGCTTAGTATTAGAACCTTTACAATATTAATATTCTGTTTCTCTATTATTCTATGATTGAAGGGTAAGTTCAGGACAAATACTATGATGTCACTTTTATTACATGTGGCTAACATTATTTTGCTGATGATATATGAGCAATAAGACACAATCAGTGGATAAGAAAAATCTTAAGAACCATTTCAGAATTCTGGCACTTTATTGTTACAATAATAGGAGATTGAAATCCACATGCCCCTGACATCCACTTCCCTCTATTTAAACACATAATTGGCACCACTGAGTCTTCAATTACAAACACTTTCTAAAGCACTCTCTTGTATTTCCTGCATTAGGTAGTAGGCTAAGGCACTAATGGTGTTTCCCTCGAAATGATTAATATGAAAAGGTGGGTCTGTCTTTCTAAAACTTGGCATTTATATTGCTCTTAGAAAAATAAGCCAAACAAAACAAAAAGTATAGCACTGTTAAGCAAAAACAGAAAACAGAAGCAGAAGCAGAGTTCTGGGCCTTTCACCATCACCATTCTATTTTTGTTTACCTGTCCATCTCCTCATTCATTAAACATTTACCAGCCACATTCTATGGGCCACACACTCTGAATAATTCCTACTGTCTGTTCTGTCTCCTGGTTACAGAGTCTTGAAAAAAGCAGGTGTTTCTAGAGATGATGAAATAATTTCTTACTCAAGTATACTGAAGAGAAATATCTTCTAACATTGAAACCTCCTTAAAATTTTATTTATTTTTTAATCCAAGTCCTCTTGCTGATTTGACAGTAAACTCTCAGCTCCTTCTCCATAATTTCATAGCTACAAGTAGACTAGCCAATGCACTCACACCTGGCTTTCAAACATAGAGGTCTCAAGTCCTCTGATTTCAGAAACATTTTAGAGGCCAATGCCAACACTGCACGAACATGAATTAGATGTGCATTACATAAAGGAAAGGAGCAAGTGGTCAGGATGTCTTCGTGGACCATCTCCACTAAATGAAATGGGCAGCAGCTGGAAGTGGCTGAGGGGGAGCAGCGGGAGGGGAGCAGGGAGCAGGACAGAAATGGAAGGTACAAAGTAAGTCTGTCTTCAGACATGTACATTTGATAAAGCAGAATATCTATGTAATTTTATACTTCTATGAGCCATGCCTTCATCCTTAGCTGCAATTTTAATAAGCTAGGTATATTATTTTCATATTTCTGTAGAGAAATATATTTTCTCTACCTTTATGGGATGAAATATGAGTAATTCAGAGATGGAAGTAATCAATGTTTATCATAAACTCCAATACTGAGGAAGTATGAGATTTTAGAGCATCAAAGGACATTAAAGCAAGTCCATTATAAAACGAATTAACCTGCTGCAGTAAGAACATCCATCCAGTCTCAGCTTTCACAGAACAGTGTCCTTGGGAAGACTCTAAGGGTATAAGTGCTAGCAGAATGAAGAAGCCAAAGAAAAGCAGAAACCAAAGTAGCATTTTAAAAACTCCCTGAATTAAAAAAAAAAAAAATCCTTGAATTAGAATATACTAGAGGCAAATTTTTTCACCTGTGGCACAACAATGATAGGTAAAAGCTTATGCCAGTCTCTAATAAGAAGCTTGTCCAGTTCAGGCAAATCTGATTTATACATTTTAAATCATTGTCAATTATTTAAGAAATATTTATAGAACACGTACTGGGTACAAAACACTGTGCTGGCAGGAACATAAAGAGCTTCAGAACATGATAGAAGAACCATCTTTTTGTTTCTGCTGAAAAGAACATTCTTGCCCATATACATAAGCTTAGGTGCAGAACACCTGAGATCTATTCCATTAACCCGCTGAAGGACATTGGGAAATTCTCTGAATTATCTCTGAATCCATTATCTATAAACCAAGAGTAAGAATAGCTGCCCTCTCATAAAGCTGTTATGAGAAGTGCATGAGATAATGTATAGAAAATTATGGAATAAATAAAATTTATAAATTCATTGACATATATCATCATCCAGTCTATTTGGTTTACTGCATGTCTAGTATGATGAGCCTGTCACTATACTGGGTGCTAGAGTTAGAGATGATCACAACAGGACTCCTTTCCTCATAAACTTCATCATCTGGGGGAGGAAAAGCATCCATGAGTAATCAAGGAGATTTGGACCAAACTTCCTCCCTCTAAAGACAGACAGACAGACAGACAGACTGACTGATTTATTTATTTAGTTAGTTAGTTAGTTTTTTGAGAGAGAGAGTGAGAGAAGGGGCAGAGGGAAAGGGAGAATCAGATACCCCGCTGAGTGGGGAGCCTGATGCAGGGCTCAATCTCAAGACCCCGAGACCATGACCTGGGCCAAAAATCAAGAGTCCGATGCCTAATCAACTGAGCCACCCAGGTGCCCGAAACTTCCTCCCTCTAAAAGAAGCATTGCCACACTCCCTCTTCCCCAAGAGCCTTAGTGCTAAGTGCCTTTTCCCCCCGCATCCTCGCTAGTTAGTCTATAATTGTAACACAGTGAATTTCAACCTGTTTTTTCATCTTATAAGTGCTTGGATGAGTGAGGAGTGAGTGGATTAAACTAACTCATGCATGTTCACGTCCTAGCAGAGCAGGGAGGACGCCAGTGCTGCCTGTCCCTGGGGAAACGGGTGGGAAGAGACGGCTTCCGGGGATCTCACGGAGGAGGTGCTTCACAACGGCAGTGTGCCAGATGGCCAAGAGAAAGAACACAGCATTGCCTAGGAGAAAGCATTTCTAGCAGGTTAACAGTAACACCTTCAAATATTTGGTTTTCCTGTTTTTTAAAGTAAGTTCATTGTATTGGAGAAAGAAAATAACCTATCTCCTTCCATTTCAGTTCCCAGATGATTTCTGAAACAGAATCAATTACTAAAGGAAAACAGTTCATTCTATCTATTCCGGCAGAAAGAAACAGGGTTAGATGAGACTTATTCTCCAGTGCAGGTGGGAAATTCATCACTGCCCTTCAACCCACCTTAGCAGCCACTCTTTTGGGGCTCAACGACTTGTATTTCCCAGTTATGGACTATAGTTATGGGTGGCCATGTGCCTGAGCTCTAGACAATGGAGAGAGGGAGGCGATACCTGTGATTTCCAGGCCCCTTATGCTCTTTTGCCTTCTGCAATGTGGACACTGACATCCAAGGTGACCTTGGAGGATGACTGAGCTTCCTCCAGGGTTCTTCAGGGTCTTTAAATGACTGTGTGCAGCAGAACCCACTTACTCAGAAACACACTGCACTGTTCGATATGAGTGAAAAGTAAAAGTATGGGTGCTAAGCCACTGAAATTGGGGAGTCCTACTTGTTACAGCAGCTAGTGTGACTAATACAATGATGTGGTGCCCAAATAAGTTCTATGGAAGGGATAGAATTGGGTGTAGAATTAGAACTGTTAGAGCTGCACAAGAGAGGAGGGAACAGGCCTACGTTATACCTACTGCTCCTTGAGGGAGGGGACTATGCCAGATATGGAAATTTATCGCTCTACCCACATGTCCAACACAATGCTTGCCATTTTACAGAGACGTGAAACAGACCTCACAGCCATCTCTAACTCCCTCCCCAAAATCCAACATCCTATTCGACATACAAAACAAGAAGCTGATAAAACAGAGAGGTTACGAAGCTAAAAATATACCTTTACATAAATCACAAGAGGGAAAGTGATTCTCGGAGAAAAATAGGCCTGTGATGAAGAAGAGATTCTGGGCATGATTGAAACACTGGGCCAGGGTGACACAAAGTGTGGCTTTCTTTAAAATCTCATCAGCAAACATACATTTCTTGAATGGTGCAACTTTAGCTCTGAAATGTATTCTGGCTAGCATAATGGAGAGATGATTGCTGGATACTCATTTCACGGCCAACTCATCTTTTTGCAGTTAAGGACTGACTCCGGTATCAAGTATACAAAGAACACAGCAATAAGATGAACTAGAAATGCTGCGTGCTCTATTATGAAACACTTAAAAATTTTTCTAAAAAGATACTGACTCAAGCATTATCCTCAATTCACAAATATTTTTTATTCAAGGTCAATTATAAACCAGGTAGCAAAATAGGAATTAAGAATAAAAGATGAATACAGTTATCTATCTTTTTTCTAGAAAGTAGATTTAAACTACTTTCTTTTAAGATTTTACTTATTTATTTGACAGAGAGACACAGTGAGAGAGGGAACACAAGGCGCCCCTGAATCAATATTTTAAAGATATTTTACTTATTACTTTGATCCTATTTCCTAATAGGAGAATCTGAAAGAAAGTAAAAGAAATTATGTTAATAACATGATAACATTAAAAAAATAAAAAAAAAAAAAACCTCAGGGCGCCTGGGTGGCTCAGTCGTTAAGCATCTGCCTTCGGCCCAGGTTAGGATCCTGGGGTCCTCGGATTGAGCCCTGCGTCGGGCTCCCTGCTCCGCGGGAAGCCTGCTTCTCCCTCTCCCATTCCCCTTGTTTGTGTTCCCTCTCTCACTGTCTCTGTCAAATAAATAAATAAAATCTTTAAAAAACAAAAAACAAAAAACCTCAATGTATCAAGTACAAATATTCAATTGCACTCCCAACGACGGTAATTCAAATTCTAAACATGACCTTTGGCGATGTTTTAAAGTTTTTACAGAAAGGTAAAATGAATACATTTGAACAGTTCTGTGAAATGCTGTTTAAAATACAATATAAAACATACTGAAAATGATTCTTGCCATCACCTTTATCATTAGTATATAGGTAGTAATGGCTTATTTGCAGATTTGTTATCTATATTCTGGTCTTAAGTGAGAAACAATGTACAATATACAGAAACAATTTTTAAAGCATTTTAAATTAATGCTATATGACTTACTGGAAGAAAAAGGGAATGATAACTGTGGAGTGATTTA